ATTTTAATATGTATTTTTTTTATTTTTATTTTTTTTTATTACAGTTTGACTTAATTGATTATTTTAGTTTATCTCAAGGGATTTTCAAAGTGTATAAATTATTTGAGTATTGGCATATCAATTTTTTTTTCGATTTATTTTTTAAATGTTATTTTCAGTTTAAATGTTTACAAATTTTATTTTCTCTGATCGGGTCTGGCACGCCTTTCAATTGGCACGACAGTTTCGGGCTGAAGCGTGTCCCATTTAAGCGTGGGATTGATTGAGTATCAAGCAATTACAGTTATGTATATATAGAGTATATATAGTGTGTACATGTGTGTAGATGCTTTATTTCTTTTGGCAGTTAGTCGCAATCGTGAGTCAGACTCGTGGCAATTCTTATTTTTTCGGTTTTTTGGTCATTTCATTCCGGTGAAAGATTTTTATAGTTTTGCTCTTTTTTAATTTATTGCATTTATGCGTAGCAGCGTTCACAATTTTATTTATGGCTTATGTCAGTGTCTTAAAATGTGCCCATCAATCAGTGAAATGAGTTTCGCAGTCTCAGTTTCTCAGACGTGAACCGACTCATCGGCTAGCTGGCTTACTGGCTAACTGGCTGACTGGCTAACTGGCTGACTGTCCAACTGTCTGACCGAGAAATTAAATTTAAATAAGCAATAAGCGACCACAGCATGCATATACATATGCTTTCCAGCTGACAATGATAAATCAAGCCTCTTATACATATATACATATATACGAGTATATATAAGGCATGTAGTTAAGAGAGAAGTCCAACTTGGAGTCAAAGTCAATGCGACAAAACTTGCTAATATGCATTAGTAAAGGTGGGCGTCAGCAGATTGTAAAAGTTCCTTTTATTTCATTTCTGAGTCTCTTGGCCCATTAAAATGCGTGGACAAGTTTTATGGTGCCAGGTGAAAGATGACTCGCAGTCGCAGTCGCAGTCGGCGTGGCAATCGGAGTCGCAGATGGAAACGACTTTTGTCGCGCCACGATGTCTGGTCTGGTTAGGTTTTTAGTCTCTGGGCTCCTCTCTACAGCTCGTCGATCTGATACAAAAGGCAAATTAGTGTTTCACAAATTAATAAAATTTAATTTATGTTAATTTCGTGTGTTGTGTGAATGTGTGTGCGATTATTGTTAAGCATCTGCTTTATACGCTTTCGCAGAGTATTTGAATTTGATCAAGACACCTGTAACGCAGAACGAGTTAGATCTACATCAGGCTAATCAAATGATTTTTAATATACATATATAAGAGTTGCTATAGTTCATCAGTAAAAGTATCTTTTGTAGCTATTGAGTATAGTATAACTTATCCTTGCAAGGGTATTTAATATTCGGCGTGCTGGTGCTTCACTTTGATTTTCGTTCACGACTTTACACAAAAGCCAACAGTTCGAGTATGCAAATATATCTGGCACGCGGGGCTCCCCTCAGAGCAAATGGGCTGTGCCGGTGACTGGTGAAGCGATGCTGGCGGGAATCGTTCATGCTAAGGGCCTATAACTGAGCCATCAGGCGCAAAACTGGCCCACAAGTAAAAGCTGATCCGCACCGTGGTAACTGCTTATGGTGATAGTGGTTCGGGTGGCGGTGGAGATGGTGGTGCGGCGATTCATTGTGGTTACCGGTTCTATGGTTAATTAATTAATTTGCATTTTKATATGTTGCGGTTGATATTTTATGGCCAGCGCGGAGGAGCGCTTGCCAACACGCGCCTCATTTGCCATAATAAACATTTAAAATTTCACCGAAAAATGTCAGCGCTATATGTGTGCTAATCCATTTAAAATAACAAAAAGAAGACGAAGAAGAACAGATCCAAACTGGTAACGCGCGTTGGTCCTGAACGTACCAGACGAGCTGGCACCGCATACACTGGATCAGTTTATCATTATTGACGGCTCACATAAGTGACAGGCCGAGGCTTACGACCTGGCTAAAGATACCTACAGATACATATAAAGAAATACCGAGAAATACACAGATTCTACTTAAGATACAGATATAGAAAGAGAAACAAACAGACATTCAGATACAGAAACAGATACAGATACAGATACAGATACAGATACAGATACAGATACAGATACAGATACAGATACAGATACAGATACAGATACAGATACAGATATATATAAACAATTCTAGATACAAATGCGTAAATCGAAATACAGATACGCCATTAGATACAGTAACAGATACAGGTTCCCATAATTCAAGCCCAATGCCTGACATCGATATCCGATACTCGATACCCATCAGCAAACAAATGAATAAAAAAATCGCACTGTTGCCATACAAATTGTTGTATCTTTGTATCTTTTGCATTTGTATAAGCTATTATGGCGTGGCCTTTTCTCTTTGATTTGCTGCGCTGCGCTGAGCTGAGCTGCGGTTACGTTTTGTTTGATTTGCGCTGCTTTTAGCGACACGTGTTTCAAATGCTCACATTGTTTTGTATCTTTTATTTATTTGTTTATCTTTCTCCTTTTATTTTATATTTGTCGCGCTCGCTTGTGCCAATTTATTTCTTGATTATCTGCGCATATAATCTACGAATTGGTCAGCCTTTTAAATTCAAATTAGCGGGCATTAAATGCACGCGACACGCTTGCCCTGCGGTCAACCAAAAGATACGGGAATATATATAACATATATATATTTTTATTTATATATNATGTCTGGTCTGGTTAGGTTTTTAGTCTCTGGGCTCCTCTCTACAGCTCGTCGATCTGATACAAAAGGCAAATTAGTGTTTCACAAATTAATAAAATTTAATTTATGTTAATTTCGTGTGTTGTGTGAATGTGTGTGCGATTATTGTTAAGCATCTGCTTTATACGCTTTCGCAGAGTATTTGAATTTGATCAAGACACCTGTAACGCAGAACGAGTTAGATCTACATCAGGCTAATCAAATGATTTTTAATATACATATATAAGAGTTGCTATAGTTCATCAGTAAAAGTATCTTTTGTAGCTATTGAGTATAGTATAACTTATCCTTGCAAGGGTATTTAATATTCGGCGTGCTGGTGCTTCACTTTGATTTTCGTTCACGACTTTACACAAAAGCCAACAGTTCGAGTATGCAAATATATCTGGCACGCGGGGCTCCCCTCAGAGCAAATGGGCTGTGCCGGTGACTGGTGAAGCGATGCTGGCGGGAATCGTTCATGCTAAGGGCCTATAACTGAGCCATCAGGCGCAAAACTGGCCCACAAGTAAAAGCTGATCCGCACCGTGGTAACTGCTTATGGTGATAGTGGTTCGGGTGGCGGTGGAGATGGTGGTGCGGCGATTCATTGTGGTTACCGGTTCTATGGTTAATTAATTAATTTGCATTTTGATATGTTGCGGTTGATATTTTATGGCCAGCGCGGAGGAGCGCTTGCCAACACGCGCCTCATTTGCCATAATAAACATTTAAAATTTCACCGAAAAATGTCAGCGCTATATGTGTGCTAATCCATTTAAAATAACAAAAAGAAGACGAAGAAGAACAGATCCAAACTGGTAACGCGCGTTGGTCCTGAACGTACCAGACGAGCTGGCACCGCATACACTGGATCAGTTTATCATTATTGACGGCTCACATAAGTGACAGGCCGAGGCTTACGACCTGGCTAAAGATACCTACAGATACATATAAAGAAATACCGAGAAATACACAGATTCTACTTAAGATACAGATATAGAAAGAGAAACAAACAGACATTCAGATACAGAAACAGATACAGATACAGATACAGATACAGATACAGATACAGATACAGATACAGATACAGATACAGATACAGATACAGATACAGATACAGATACAGATATATATAAACAATTCTAGATACAAATGCGTAAATCGAAATACAGATACGCCATTAGATACAGTAACAGATACAGGTTCCCATAATTCAAGCCCAATGCCTGACATCGATATCCGATACTCGATACCCATCAGCAAACAAATGAATAAAAAAATCGCACTGTTGCCATACAAATTGTTGTATCTTTGTATCTTTTGCATTTGTATAAGCTATTATGGCGTGGCCTTTTCTCTTTGATTTGCTGCGCTGCGCTGAGCTGAGCTGCGGTTACGTTTTGTTTGATTTGCGCTGCTTTTAGCGACACGTGTTTCAAATGCTCACATTGTTTTGTATCTTTTATTTATTTGTTTATCTTTCTCCTTTTATTTTATATTTGTCGCGCTCGCTTGTGCCAATTTATTTCTTGATTATCTGCGCATATAATCTACGAATTGGTCAGCCTTTTAAATTCAAATTAGCGGGCATTAAATGCACGCGACACGCTTGCCCTGCGGTCAACCAAAAGATACGGGAATATATATAACATATATATATTTTTATTTATATATATATCTGTACGCATATAGATAAATATTAATTGTCTTTTTATTAGAAGTTTATATTTCAGTTTGAGTTGATACAAAGTATCTAAGGCGGCAGTTTGAAAGATAGATACATGCTAAAAGATACATATCTTGAGTTGTACGATTTATTTGTTTTGCCCGATATATGGAAAAATAAAAGTTATTGGGCTAATTAGCTGGAACAAAAGATCTAAAGTGCATGATTAAAAATGTATTTATTGCTCAGCAAAGCTAATGTATCTTAAACTATTGGCAAGTTGAAGATAGATGTGTTCAGCTTAGACTGTCAAGGAAAGTGTGAAATAAGCGAGTTAAGAGTTAGCTAAAATATAGATAAACATATTTCTATGTATATCTATCTTAACGTCCGTTCATCTGTGGATGATGTTAGAAACGGAAAAAATTATAATATAAAGCTTCGCAGAGAAATCTTTGCTAAGCTATTCTAAATATAGACCTATTAGATATATGGTCTAGTATATTTCACCTGTTCCTTTCTATTTTCTATTTCTTTATTTATGTTTGCTGCTTGAGAAACTAGTTATAAATTAATTTTGATTTCTATAGAACCTGCACATGCACTTTAATAATAATAATAAAAAAAAAAAAAACAACACTCTCGATAAATACGAATATAGCAAAGCGTTTCTATCTGAACCTTACCGGCCGGCTTAAAGATTTGACTTTGGTTTTGTCCGAATCGAAAACAAGTTTGTCAGATACAATGTTTGTGTATGGCTATCTAAGCAGTTGAGAATCGCGGCAATGCTGCTTATGTATCTTGTTGGACAGTCTTGATTTCTTTTGGTCAAAACTGAAATTTGATCGGATCACGGTGTTGACGAACGAGTTCTGCAATTAATTAGCACACAAATCGGTTATAAATTCTGTATTTCAATAATCAAGCAAAAAAGGCATTAAAAAAAAAAAAAACAGAAATGAATAAAATGATATCGCAGACAAATTGCTAGGAATTGTAGTTAAGGTAAGTTCGCGTGAAATTCGTTTAAGTTGCTTATCGATATTTCGATTAATTTTTATTTCAATGCACCAAAAATCGCACCAAAAAACAAAATGCTTGCTTTTGCTTCTTTTATAATTTACAAATTGGCAAACAGTTTTTCGTTTCTTTTATTAAAATTATTATCAAAATAAAGTAAAGATTATAGCTTAGGCAGCTGCAGGAGAATTTGATTTTGCATTCAAGTAGACCAAGCAGAAGCCTCGAACAGTGGCATGTCACGCATTAAGAAAAACAGTTTTTCTTTTCAGAACCGAACCATACCATCATTCAATCAAATCATTTTTAAACTATAAAATGCTTTTCCCCCTGAATATGCGACACATGCTAAACACTCTATTCTCTCGGTTATCTTTCAGGTTCCGAGTGCGATTCGGGCAGTGCTTCCATAACGCCCCGCATGCAGCTGCTTGGACTGGGACTCGCGCTCTACATAGGCGCCCTGCTGCGGCTGAAAGGAGTTTTCTAAAAGAAATTCTCTGGCAACATCGCATTCCATAAGTAAAATATGAAATTATATTTAGCAACTGAAAGAGACGGCGAGAGATGAGGAGAGAGCGAGAGCGACAGAGTTTTAGAATTGGAGCCATACTTTTGTAGTTTGGCCAAACGATTTGTAAATGAATTTAGTGTTGCATGCAACTGCATTAAGTGGCAGCAGTTTGGCATTTGTTGTAGTTGTTAGTTTTAACCACTTGCCAGGTGCAAGCAGGTAGACACTTTAGCACGCGGCTTGCCCCACACAGACACACACACACAAACACATATCAAATGCAGCCCGAGTAGTTGCGCTTACTTCTATTATTTCCATAGACACACACACCCATACACACACATACACCTTGATACACTTTTGTAGCACGCCGCTGAAATTTGCTTAGTTTGTATAAAAATGCAGTGACCCAATAAAGAGGCCCCAACAAACCCAGGCTCCAATAAGAATATATAAACCAACAAAAAAAGGAAGCTAAACGGAGAAATTAATCAAGCAACAAAATAAAAAAACAATTTTGATAAATTGAACGTTTGTCATGCCAGCCAGCCAGCCAGTCAGCCGGGCATAATCAATACACGAACAAGAGGAAGAACAAGAAGAAGAAACTATATTAAATACTCGCTTAGAGTTTGCATATTTTGCCAGCTGGCATGGGTCCAAAACTCTGCCCAGGCCGTAGACCCCGAAAAATTTTGAATTGATTTTTTGATAGACCCAATGAAACTTGGCCAAAAATCCATTGGTTTCAGCTTTCCGTTGGGCATGGTTCATTATTTTTGTCACACAGCGATATATGTATATATATAATATATA